TGATAGTACATTCCACAGTGGGTCCTACCACGATGAGCCTTTACACTGGCAGAGCACATTTTTCAGTATTAGTTGGGAAGTAGTGGAAAGTAAGGTATATTTGATATCTTATTTCAGTTACAGGGCAGTCTTAGTAATGAAGTAGATGCATAATTTATCATGTTGCTACAGGTAAATGACATATATGCATGTATTCTGGGGAAATTTTGACATAATGTATGTAATAGTTGATAATTTATACTTCTGAAATTATAGAGGTACAGGGGACAAGTATAATTGTTGCTTGAGAGTCACAGAATGAATGCAATAGGTGAATTTTTAATAATTACTGTCTAAGTGTTGAAGTCAAGGCTATTTCGAAGGTCTTGATTTTCAACCAAAATTTGCCTTTTGAGTGTTTTGGGGTGTTTGGTGGTTTTCTTGGGGTTTTTTTTCTGAGAATTGTATGTGGGTTTTGAGCTGCAGGTATGCTTAAAACTACACATAGTTTTGGTTTTGCACCTCTGGAGTTTACTTTCAGAAAGGAAAAATTGCCTTTGTTGTAGAATGATCGTTTTCCTTGCTGTTTACCAAAAGTGATGACATCTTCTAGTTTCCTTCCCTGACTGTAACTTACGTGAAGAAGATTGTAATAAATTATTGTAATCTGCAAAATAAATGGATGGATTTCTGTTGCTTATAGCATAAGAAGCATAAGTGACTGCAATGTAGCCATTTTTATAACTTTGAAAGATTGAATAAAGTCTCAAAGCATCTGTTAGGTCTCAAGGACTGTTCATGACACTTCTATTGTATGACAGATTATAGCGCAAGAAAAGTCTGCTTCTTCCTGCCTAATGATAGGAATGTATAGACTTTGTTTTGTCTTTCCAGATTTATATTCATGCAGTTTTACAACTGAATGCCTGTTAAGAGTTCTTGTAAAATGTGTAATAGTGTGAGTGAATCTCCAAAATGAAGAAATGATCCAAGGCTGTGTTGTTCAGCCCAGCCTTTTGCAGGTGACTCTAAGGTCCCATGGCAACTGAATTCTTTATTATGCAAAGAGAAATGCAAAGGACAGCGTGGGGCCGAAGCATGAGAGTGCCAGCCAAAGAGATGTTTTAACCTTTTTTGAAAGAAGAATAAAGTTTAATTAAAATCTTCAGAGTATTTGCCTAAGATTTTCACCTATAATGATAACTGAAATAGCAAAATAACATTTGGTTCATTCTCTTACCAGTTTAATATTTACGGTTTAGGACTTCTTTGGTGCTCATTTGCTCTGAGTGTAGACGAACTGCCTATTTTCTTTCTAATCTAGTATCAGATACCAAGATCAGATTTACATTAAAAATTCTGGTGCTTCCTCTGTGAATGGCTCCGTCACTCTAAAGGTTTGCAGTGCATTTGTAATGTATGACACCAATAAAATAGTTTTAACAAAGACAGTGCAAGAGATTTTAGGTTCATTGGCATATAAACAGATAATCAGTGTATACTTTTAACAGTTCACAGAGTTCACATTACTAGCAGATGATGGGTTGATAGCAGAGGTAGAAATACAGTGTAAAACACCAAGAGGATAGTATTAAAAAAAGTTTAAGTGCTTTTAGATTAGGATGGTTTGATACATCATGTAAAATGCATTTTGAATGGTGTCCATTTCTTGTGAGACTTAGCTACTTCTTACGGTTTTCTAAGCTATGCTGGCATCTCGCTTGTTGTTTGCCACTCCTAGCTCCATCACAGACAACTTCTCTTTTGTTATTGCAGAAGGCTTTTTCTGGAGGGTTGAAAGTGTGTCTTTACATTGAAATAAAACTCTATAAAGACAGTATTGTAGGGTTTTTTGATTAGTGTCTGATTTATATCAAGTGTGCCTAATTATCAGGGTAGTCTTTTTTTCCCCCAATTTCCCAGCTGGAGCAGTTTGGACTCTGTAAACTTGATCTGCTTTCAATTCTCTCAACATGAGTAATAAATAAATCAGGAGTTTGATCGCGTCCTTCTATTTGTGTGTATTTGACTCTGTCAATGAAAATAGAAAAGCTGCTTAAGAAAAAAACAAGCATATTAAATAAACATAAAGTGAGGAGTTACTGACTGACGGTGGGAGAAGGAAGCATGCAACGACTTTACAATTAAATCTCATTTTGTAGTTAATTACAGAAAAGTTGAACAAAAAGTTGATAGAAGTTCAACTGAAAAGGTGGTTTGAGAGTTAACTGCTGTTCTTTATTCATTGCAGCTGATCATAGGATCATAGAATGGTTTGGGTTGGAAGGGACCTTTAAAGGTCATCTAGTCCAACCCTCCTGCAATGAGCAGGGACATCTTCAACTAGATCAGGTTGCTCAGAGCCCCGTGATGTCTCTGCTGTATACAGTGTCCAGTTTTGGACACAAAACTTAAAGATGTAGAGGTGTGTAGGAGAATGGCAAGAGGAGAAGGCGGTTAGAAAGTGCAATGCATGACAGGTGTTACTTAATTTAGAAAAGAACAGCGGAAGAGAGGAAGTATGAGTCGCCTACAGTATATAAAAGATTATTAAAGGGATTGTTCTTTTTGGCTGATGAGGAAGAATTAGTTCAATTTATAGCAGATGAGATTGTTTGGATAGTTGGAAAAAATTCTAAATGTCAGTGTGATAAAGAAACTGGAATCTATTTCTAAGAATGTTGGGGAGAGCTCTGCAGATTAGTCTATGTGTATTTGATCCTGTGTAAGTGTAGAGGGCTGGAAGAGCAAACCTTCCTCCCCCTCCCTTTTTCTTTTCTTCTGTGAAAAAGGTATGCATTCTGGCAGTTTGGCATCAGCGTAGTTAATATGACCAAAAACCAGATGGAACTTATTTTGATTACTATATAAGTAACTTAACGTGGCTATGAATGTTCAAAGCCTATGATTTGGTTTAGATGATGCACCCACTCCAGCCCTGCCTACCATTCCAGTAACACATAAAAGGTATTTAAAGTTTTGCATTCTGCAGAGGAGATTTATCTACATGAGAAGACTACAGGTGTGTTTCCATGAGTGGTCCTAAACAGCGGAGCTGCAGGCAGCAGGTGTAACTGGAGGAACTAGGCTGGTGGTTCTTAGAAGGTGGTGCAGATGTTCATCAGACTATGTTCAGCTGAGGTAAAATGCAATGGAACAGCTTAAGATGCTAACAAAGTCCTGCTTTTGTGGGGACATCTTTGAGGCTCTGTAGCAAGGCAAAATTTCTTAAGCTGGTGCTCAAGGAAAGATAGAAAATTGATCAATTCATTTGACTCCTTGCTCGGGAGCAGACTGAATGCTAC